CTAGTTCCTTAAATCTGTTCTTCACTTCCACCGTGTATTCATAAGGGATTTGGTTTAGATTGTATCTGACTAACCCAGTGGTTTTTCCTGCTTTCTTCAGTTTAAGCTTGAATTTTGCTATAAGAAGCTAATGATCAGAGCCACAATCAGCTCCAGGTCTTGTTTTTGCTGACTGTATAGAGCTTCTCCATCTTTGGCTGCAGAGAATATAATCAATCTGATTTTGGTATTGCCCATCTGGTGATGTCCATGTGTACAGTCGCCTCTTGTGTTGCTGGAAAAGTGTGTGATGACCAGCTTGTTCTCTTGACAAAACTCTATTAGCCTTTGCCCAGCTTCATTTTAAACTCCAAGGCCAAACTTTCCTGTTGTTCCTTTTATCTCTTGACTCCCTATTTTAGCATTCCAGTCCCCTAGAATGAGAAGAACATCCTTTTTTGGTGTCAGTTCTGGAAGGTGTTGTAAGTCTTCATAGAATTGGTCAATTTCAGCATATTCAGCATTGATGGTTCGTGCATAAACTTGGATGACTGTGATGCTGAAAGGTCTGCCTTGGATTTGTACAGTCAACCCTCGACTTACTAACTTAATCCGTTCCAGAAGGACAGTCGTAAGTTGAAAAGTTTGTAAGTCGAATCCAGATTTCCCATAGGAATGAACTGAAACTTACTTAATGTGTTCCTATGTGAAAAAGGTCGTAAACAACAACAACAAAAAATTAAAACAATGTCACGTACCAGGTACTGCAGACCGAGCCTGGCTCCTCACAGCACCCCCGCAGCCGTGGAACAGCTGGAAAAAGAGCACCCAACAGCTGAGTCAGCAACCAGCAGGCAGGCTGCAGCTATCCCAGAGAAACAGCAGCCATCTTGAGAGACAGACAGCCATGTGGTCACCTCTCAAAATGGCCGCCACCTCCAAAACGGCCACCACCTCTCTACTCTTTTTCCGGCTGTTCCGAGGCCACAAGTAAATGACTTTTTTCTTCCTATGGTGCTGGGAGGACTGGTCGGGGACCTCAGAAAGCGGCGCTGGCAGCGGGGGCGGCGGCGGCGGAAGGTCATAACTCAAATCCAAGTTCACAAGTAGAGGGAATATTTCCCTATCAGAGGAGTTCGTAAGTCAAAATGTTCGTAAGTCAAGGGTTGGCTGTATTGAACTCATTCTATCATTTATGAGATTGTATCCCAGTACAGCTTTTCCCACTCTTTTGTTAACTATGAGGGCTATTCCATAATTTGTATAGGATTTTTGCCCACAATAGATATTACATTCCAGGTTCCTATGCAATATTTTTCTTTGCACCATCAGACTTTCCTTAACTTCCATGCACATCCGCAGCTGAGCGTCCTTTCGGCTTCGGCCCAACCACTTCATTAGCTCTAGAGCTACTTG